AAAAAAAAAAATAAAATTGGGACTACGACAACAATTAATTTATTATTATTATTTTTATTTAAATAAGAGGTATATTCATTATTTTATAATTTCTTATTGAGAAATTTGATAAAAAATGATGGTTTGCACAATCAAATGTGTAATTAAGAATGAAAATTTCAAAAAAATGAAAGGTATTGACGTTTTTCATAATAATAGTAAAAGATAAGGACATTATATACTAATTACCTTTTTAATAATTTATTTGGGACTCGTTTACACGATTTTAAAAAATTTAGAACTATGATTACAATTAATTCTTTCTTTATCTTATTGTTTTATTTAAACAAGAGGGTATATTCTATCTTACAATTTTTAATTGAGAAAATTTATGAAAATGACATTTTACTTAATGAAATATAAAAATAAGAAAGAAAATATCAAAAAATAAGGATGGAACGGCTTGAAAAAGAATAGGGCCTAAAAGGTTTGAACGTTTTCTATGAAAGATAAGGATGCCATGCCCTAATTCCCCAAAACAAGAATGTACAAAAGTTAGTGAATTTACAAAGACCCTTGAAATAATTTCTCACAAGTAAAATATCCCCAAGAATCAAGATTCTTTGTTCCATTTTCCATCAAAACACCGGCCCCAAATAAACATAGCATAGCCCGAATAAACACAAGAAAACAATAATAATGGCAGTAAGAGCTCCAATAACATGGATAAGCATGATTTCTTCTTCTACGGTGAATACCTCTTCTCCCTCTTGCAATAGAGGAGTATTTATCGTGAAGGCACAAGTTTTGGGACCATCCTTCTTTGGTAATGGAGGTAATTCTTGCCAATACTACTACTTTTCGCTGTATTTGTTTTTTGATGTTATTATGCAATAGGAACAGACCCTTTTCATTTTTCGCCACAATAACGAGTCTGTCAATTTGCAATCCTGATGCTTACGAGATGGGGAATTGGTAATTCCACATCAAGTGTACTTCCTTTTTAGCACAAACTTCTACTTGGCTGTATTATTTTTTCTCTGAAACGTGGCTTCAACATTGCTTAGATTTTTTACTGTGCAAAGTTTATTTCTTTTATGGTATTCGAATCTTCGTTTACATTACGATTGAGTTTCTAATGTAATGTAGGAATGTAGTAACGTAGTGTGAATTTGTTATGGCACTAGGGATGTTGTTGCAGTGATTTGAAATAGTTTACTGCTGATGTTGTCCACGGCTTGATGATATTTGAAGAGCGGGAGAGAGATTTGAGACTTGAAATAGAATCGAATTTTCTTGCTTTATTTGAGAACCAATTGAAATTGAAACTGAATTGCTTAATTCCACACATAAGATCTCCCATCTTCTTTTCTCATCGGTGCAAACCTCATTATTTGTCCAGTTGATGCCTTAGACCAATGAGACAAACTGAAAAAGGTATAATTGAATAGCAACTTCGTGTTCTCTGGTTTATGATTCACCCTCACATAGATATGATGCTGGAAGGAGACTTATAGACGAGTACTTAAAATAGTATAAATGAGTCAAAATGAAAGCCTGCTATTAGGTTCTGCTTGAGGGCTCTAGCTGAAGGTGAGAATATTTATCCCCTGCATGTGATGACAAATCAACCTCATTGCAAACCGAATCCTTAAAATATGCCTTCCATGTCTGCGAACTTGGGAGAGTGTCCACAGATAAGTTTTGGAGGAATTATATTATCATGGTAGTGATGGTTACTTCTTCCTTTTATATATCTGAATGCCGAAAAGATTTTTGGTGCACTATACTGGCCTTGAAGTTACAAGGATAAAGTGGCTAGGATGTGCACGTAATATGCTGAAAAAAAGGGTTTGAAAAGGAAGAGGTCCTAGGATGGCTTCTGAGGAATACCCAGATAAGTTAAAAGAACAAGGACAGCGCACTGATGAGACTGATAAATTCATCCTACAATCTACTGGGGAACTTCTCAAATTTTAGAATGTCTGCAAATTTTCCCTGTAAGCCTTTAAGAACATCAAGAAATTATGATTTGAGAACAAAATAGTATCATTATTAAACTGCTTCCATGTAATAGTTTGAATATTCCTTTTCACCATAAGACCTAGAACAATAATGTTACGCCGGACCTTGGAGTACACATGACCAACCTGCTTAAACCATTCAAAACTAGAGTGAATGAAAAGAGATGCACAATAAATTGCGTGCCCACCTAGAATCTCGAATTTGAAAACATTTGCATCGAGAAAATTCATCACCAAAATGTATTGGTTTTGTTGGGTCTTGGAATGAACTGAAGTGAACTTTCTGAGACTAATATGTAACATATTGTATATTTATGTCATTTTTAGGTTGTCAGGAACCATGCTTTACATATCTATTCTTATAGTGATAAAATAAAAGCTCTTTTGTTCAAGAATAATAATGGTAATAGACTTCACAGTCATAGTTTAAATTGTTCCATGAGCTTTGAATGTTAAGTCAAAACATGTTCATTTATGTATTCCTCAATGGTCCAGAGTTGAAGAAGATTGTCCATATACCTGACTCATGATTATGGGATAAATTTTGTTGATTTCAGTTGAGGTTGATGGGTTCATTCCCCTAACTGATAAATCAATTATTATACACCAATTCTTACTCATTAATGGTGAAAGTTTATATGTTTGCATATTGGACTGCTTAGTTTCCTTTCTTGATAGGCTTAGATGCTTCTTTATGGACTATATTTGAAATACATTGTCCAGTTGTTGTTATCATTTTTGTACTTAATTTTTGAATTCTAGTCGTTTTATTCCACTAAAATTTATGTTAAATGCTTGAACTAAAATTCATTCATCTCTTTATTAGTGGGGACTTCAAAAGTTTCAGGAATACAGCTATCTTATTTCAGTAGATCCAGATGTAATAGTCATGGTGGTGGTGCCCTCGGTGCTCGGATGAACCTTTTTGATCGATTTGCAAGAGTTGTCAAGGTCGTTTGGGTGTTGTTGACTGTTGACTTCAGTCAGATATACTTGAAATGTTATTGACTCTACTTCATCTGTTTTAAGTGTAGTCATATGCAAATGCTGTAATAAGCTCTTTTGAAGACCCAGAGAAGATTTTGGAACAAACTGTGATTGAGATGAATGATGATTTGATTAAGATGCGTCAAGCTACAGCGCAGGTATATCCCCCTGTGAACTCTTCTTTTTCCCTTTTCATTTTCTTTTAGGGTAAAAACTGATTCTTTTATGTGCTTAACCAAGATTACACTTTCTCTGTTTATTTTCTTTATTGGAATGAGAATATGTTGAATCTAGAAGTTTCTACATAAAAGTTAATTTATTGGGGGAAATGAAGTGAAATTTTTTAGCATTCCTCTTTCTTGTAGGTTTTGGCTTCACAGAAGCAATTGGAGAACAGATACAAAGCTGCACAAAAAGCTTCTGAAGAGTGGTTAGTGTCCTCGAATACTTCATTGAACTCATTTTGTTATAAAGAAGCCACATTTTTATCCTTTCGTTTGATCATAGGTATCGTAAAGCACAACTTGCTCTTGGAAAAGGTGAAGAGGATCTTGCTCGTGAAGCTCTTAAACGTAGAAAATCTTATGCGGTGAGGAACTTTGAGAAAAAAATAAAAGAAACATGTGTCTCATGGAATGTCTGAAACGAAATGGACTAATGATCCTTATTTCTCAGCAGAGTTCAATGGGAAAAAAAGTAATTAATGTAGCTGACCCCATATAATTTTTGATGAAAGGCTTTCTTTTCTTTTCTTTTGTATTTGTATCAATGTATGAACTAGTTTGTGAAGCTTGGAGAAGTTGAACAAGAGGATCCTTGTGCAGCACTGAATACAATTTTACTTACAAGTAGATGAATAATCTTATTTCATTCGTTTTAAGATTGATAGTACAAAACTGTGTGAGATTCTTATCCTTTCTATAAAAAAAATAAAAAAAATAAGGCATCATAAAGTACCTGCGAAAGAATACCAAATATAGACTGATAAATTTTCTACAGGCAGTTCGTGTTTGAGAGAACCCTCTAAAAAGTGTAGATGCCAAACCTAGTTAAGTTTAATTTTGGTTGATGAGGGGTTTCCTTTCTGAAATAAACACTGTTACACTTTGGCTTGATTTTGTGGGGAGTAAAGCTACTTTTATCAGTAGGCAAATTTCTTTAGGATCCCAAGTATTCTGCAATGGTTGATTCACTAATATTTTGCCTTTTAAGCTTATCAACATGGTTGAAGGAGATCTAATGAGATGATTGGAGCACAGTTGAGTAATAAATACGCTGTATTTTGAGTCTTACCTCTCCCTCCAATCCCAAAAGAAAAATATTATTTTCTGCTTTTCATGTGTTTCTTTATTGCTTTTCGTAGTTCAATAGTATTTTGCATTTTCGCTGGAAGGATGAGTAAGAAAATCATTTTGCTGCAGTGATGTGGGTGTTGAATTGTGTTGTCAATAAGTCTTCCTAGTTTTCACAAATTTACAGGACAATGCAAATGCTTTGAAGGCTCAGCTTGACCAGCAGAAGAGTGTAGTTGATAACCTTGTCTCAAATACACGGGTGTGTTTTCTATACTTTTTCTGTTTGTCTTCCACAATATTCTGTTGTATTTGTTCTTTTCTTCAAGAGGAGATAGAATTTAGTACTAGTCGTGTTGCATGTAAATATTATAGTACGTGTGATGCAGAAGTGAAATTGAGTTGTTGAAACAAGAATGAAGTCGAACAACTTGAAAATTTGAAAAAAATAATCTTGTTGTAATGAATTGATCAATTGAAAAGTTTAAAAACCTTTGTTTATATAGGCAAAATAATCCCCTAATCTTACCTATACAAGAAAATTAAGCTAAAATCTAAAAGGAAAGAAAACTGCAATTCTAAAAAGGACACAAAATCATGAGCTAAACAAGAAATAAAATTCTATTACAACAAGAAATAATTTCTTGCCCTATTTGTGATGGAATTGCCCTACATCAATCTCCCATACTCGAAAAAAATCTCGTCCTCGAGTTTGTTGAAAAAGTGAATTAATAAAAGAGGAAAAATTTCCAAAATTTCTGCATCACATTGTGAGAATTCGAACTTAGCTTGGACTCGGGGAAAATCTTTAGCCATTCGTTGCTATGTTCTGGACTCGTTGAAGCAACCAATGTTCGTAGCAATCAAAATCTGCAAATTTTTATCAGCAGCATCTTCGAGTCTATCCGCCATTTGTTCTAGATTTTAGATCAAGGTTGGTAATTTTAGAATCCTCCGATTGTCTTCGCAAGGATGTATGCCACTACCACCATTATGGCCATTAGCCAAGGTTAAAACCTTGCTCTTATACCAATTTTAGTGTGAAATCGGAATTGAGTTCTTGAAACTAAAGTTGAACAAATTCAAAAAATTTGTAGAGAATAATTTTATTGTAATAAATTTGTCAATTGAAAAGTATACAAAACCTTTATTTATATAAGCAAAATAATTTCCTAATCTTATCAATACAAGGAAATTAAACTAAAATCCTAAAACGAAAGAAAATTAAAACATATTTAAAAGGAAACGAAATTCTAATTTAAACAAAAAAGCTGATTCAACAAGAAATAATTCATTTCCTATTTCTGAGAGAATTGTCTTACATCAATGTGTTTGTACGTGTTAGCCATCTAATGATAGACAGTCTCTAAAAAACTATTCTATTATGAAAAACCTGCTTCCTCTCTCTCTCTCTCTCTCTCTCGCTCTATAGGGGAGATGGAGGATCTCATCACATCCAAACACCGTCCCCCACCACCCGACACAGCCAGCCTTCCCGGTGACGGTCACAAACCCAGCCCACATAACCCTACCGGCCTCACGCCACAAATACATAGCCTCACATTCGGGACCACAATCGCCTACAGTAACCCTAGCGCTGCGACCCGGTTGCGCGGCGGTTTGAACGGCGCTCTTGCCGGCGACGGGTTGGTGGCTCATGGGTTCTATTCTCAGGGAGGTAACATTTCCATAACTGGTACAGCGAAGGAGAAGACCGAACGCTGTCAGGCAGTCAAATCCCGATCCCACCTTTTCCGGCCAATTTCTCAGCAAACGCGCCGGTCCGGGGGCCTGTGCAGGCCATTCTGAGTCTGGCAGGTCAGGCGTCCGGCGATTTTGCCGACCTGCCGGCGCGTGGGGAGGCGCGTGGGGCACACGCGCCGCCTCTGAGGTCTGCCCAGATCCACCATGCTGCTCCGAGGCCATTCCGAGCATTGGTTTCATCATCCACTAGTTCATTTGCTCAAAATAGTGGGAAACAGACTTACCCAGAGGGTATCAAGGTCTTCAATTCACGATTTCGAGTTGAGACAAAGGAGTTCGTTGTGTCTGTTACGGTATCAGGATTTATTAAGCTATCAGAATGGGGATTGAAGATATCAATATGGTGTCGTCTAGATGCTGAATATGATGGACAAGTTGAGGATGACAGATAGAATGGGGGACTTTGTCGCCAAGTTTAATGAGTCCTCTCGAGCCTTCTTGCCACAACGTTGTGCTAACAAGCGTGGTTGGATTTTGATGATAGCTCAGTACGGGGACAGGTGTCGAAAAGGAGTTGTGATGGTGTCGGAAGGTGTTAATGGAGAAGGATGGGTATCGATATCACGCGTGTTTCGAGCAGTTGTTGATTCACTTGTTTCCAGTGATAGGGCAAAACATCGAATAGCTGATGCTAAGAGGCGATCAGGGGTGACTTACGCCTATGTGACGGCGAACGTTGGGACACCGAAAAAGGCTGATAAGGGGAATTGTTGTGTAAGGAAGGGGTGGAGAATGAGGGGATTGACTCTAACGCAGAATTGTCGGCTCGCATTCAGGCGTTGGAAAGGGAATTGGATGACTTGATCAAGGTGGTGGATAAAGGGCCTATAGTGGGCCCAAGGGCCACTTATTGTCATAGGTGTGGGGTGGGCTTGGATGAGCTTCCAGGCGAATTTCAGACGCGAACTGCAGTGGTAAATTTTTTCGGTGATGGAAGTAAGGTCGAGACGGAGGAAACAGATTGAATGTCAGGGATTCAATGATCAAGGCGTCTCGAGAGAAGGAACCTCGGGGCGAGGTAGGGGAATCGGGTACTACGATCCTGAACTCGGAGTTGTTGGAAGCGATCAATTGTCCTACAAATGAGGGTGGGCTGGACATGATTCCCTCTGTAAAGGGATCATTGTTGGATCATGAGCGTGAAAACGGAACTGTGGTGGGTAATAGCTTAACTTTGATTACTGAGAAACAGCAAGGGCAGATAGACTCAGCAACTAGGATGGTGAATACCTATTGTAGAAGATTTTCTAAATCTCCAAATGAAGGGGATCCAGGGAATGATAATACTTTGGTTGTGTGGGTTGGAGGAGCCGACAAAGGGGATACATGCAGTGATGTGATTCGGGTGGAGGACGAGGAGGGATGCTACTTTGATCCCATGTATGTTGAGGGTATGGCGAAGATTAGAGGATCTGATGTTAGACCTCGACCGTCGAGTTGGGTCCTTCAAAAAATTGTGGAGCTCAGTAAGATGGTAGGTGTGTCATGTGATGGGCACAAACCTAGGCTTGTACAATTATTCGAGGACCTGGAGGTCAATAGGGGACATGGGCTGGGTACATTAGGAGGTAAGACAAGAAGAAAAGGCGATCGTGAACTTAAGCGTCTCGAATGCTCGGTTAATTATGATCTCAAGGGTGGAGAGTCAAGGAGAGGTCATATAGGGAGGGATGATGAGGTGTTTAGATGATTCCAAAAATAATTAGTTGGAATGTGAGGGGCTTAATGAAGCTGAGAAAAGATCAAGTGTTCGGAATCTATTAAGAGGATGGAGGGCTGACATTGTATGCCTACAAGAAACAAAGCTGGAGGTCGTTTCGAGGGCTGTTGTGCGCAGTCTATGGGGGGGCTAGCATGTGGGGTATCAGTTTGTAGGGTCATCAGGGGCTTCAGGAGGAATGTTAGTAATGTGGGATAATAGAGTTTGTGATTTGGAGGAGGTTAGTGAAGGGCTATTTTCTCTTATCGCTTTCATTTAGAAATATTGTAGAGCTTTCGTTGGATGTTTACAGGAGTTTATGGACCTAATGCTGATGAGAGTAGAGGTGGTTTGTGGGATGAGTTGGCTGGGATGATGATGCGCGTTCATTTAGAAACATTGGGGATAGCGTCCGTTGGATGTTTATAGGAGTTTCTGGGCCTAATGTAGATGAGGGTAGAGGTTGACTGTGGGAGGAAGTGGCTGGGATGATGAATTGGTGGAACCTCCCAATGTGTATTGAAGGAATTTTAATGTAGTTCAATTTCCCAATGAGAGGTCTAGTAGGGGGAGATTAATAGGGGCCATGGAGGACTTTTCAGACTTTATTAGGGAGAACATGTTGGTGGATTTGCCTTTGATCAGGGGAGATTTTACTTGGTCATCGAACCGAGACCAACCTGCTCTATCTTGAATAGATCGATTTTTGGTGTGTGGGGAGTGGGAGGCTAAGTATCCAGAGGTCACGCAAAGGAGACTGGGGAGGTTGTATTCTGATCATTTCCCCATTTTACTATCTGGGAACGTAAGGCGCTGTGGAAGAATGCCTTTTAGGTTTGAGAGGATGTGGCTAAAAGTAGAAGGTTTTGAAGAACGAGTACCGAATTGGTGGGCATCCTATGACTTCAGGGGATCCCTTAGTTATGTATTAGATCGGAAATTGAGGGCATTGAACATGATCTTTAGAGGTGGAGCGAGGAGTTGGTGGGAGATGTCACTTTTCGCAAAAATCAATGCCTTTCAGATATTGAGGAATTGGATAGGTTGGAGGATAATCATGGATTGGAAGGAGATGATAGAGCGAGATGTGGAGAATTAAGGAAAGAGCTGGAGAGGCTGGTGGAGATGGAGGAGATTGCTTGGTGTTAGAAGTTTAGGGTCCAGTGGTTAAAATAGGGAGACAGGTGCACCCAATTTTTCTATAAGGTAGCTAACTCCAATAGGTGCAACAATTTAATCACTACGCTGGAGGTTGATGGGGTCACTTATGAGAATCCGCATGATATCGGGACCCATATGGTAAGTTTTTATCAGTCCCTGTATAGTGAGCAGTTGGGTTGGGGGCCAGAATTGGAGGGGCTATACTTTTTTACTATTGATGAGGAGGATGCTAGTTGGTTAGAAAGATCGTTTGGGGAGGATGAAATCAGGGATGTGGTGTTCAGCATGAATGGCGATAAGGTTTTAGGACTCGATGGATTCTCTTTCTCATTCTATAAGGGTTGCTGGGAGGTGGTGCGATTAGACATTTTAGATGTCCTTACCTATTTCTTTCAGTGTGGAAGATTCCTACGAAGCGCCAATGCTACATTCATTGTGCTTATTCCCAATAAACCGGGAGCAACAGATATTAAGGACTTTCGTCCTATTAGCTTAGTGAATGGGGTTTACAAGATTATTGCGAAGATTTTGGTGAATAGATTAAAGGAGGTGTTGGGAAATGTGGTGTTTAAATTTCAGAATGCCTTGTGCCAGATTTTGGATTCCGTACTTATAGCAAACGAATGCATTGACTCAAGAATGCGATTGGAGGTTCCAGGAATGTTATGTAAACTCGATATTCAGAAGGCATATGATCACGTTAACTGGGGTTTTGTGTTGTATATGCTCAGGAGATGTGGTTTTGGGGAGAAATGGTGCCGGTGGATTCAGTTTTGTATCTCTACGGTTTCATACTCAGTTATGGTGAATGGCACCCTGGAGGGCTACTTTCGCAGTAGTAGAGGTTTGAGACAAGGGGACCGTCTGTCTCCATTGCTGTTTGTCATTGTTATGGAAGCTTTTAGTAGGATGATTGAGAAGGCGTTAGGCAAAGTTTGATAAGGGGTTTTGTTGTCGAGCAGTTGCAGGTTTCTCATTTGTTATTTGCAGATGATAGCTGATTTTTTGTGATGCGGATGTTGAGCAATTTAGAAACCCGCGTCGCTTACTCCTATGCTTTGAAGTTGTTTCTGGATTGAAAATAAATTTGGGAATCTTGCGTCGTTTACTTCTGTGCTTTGAAGCTGTTTTTGGATTGAAAATCAATTTGGGAAAATCTGAGGCTATCACAGTGGGAGATGTTGATAACGTGGAAGAGTTGGCTGAGATTTTGGATTGTAGGGTGGCACAATTGCCTATGTCATATCTCGGGCTTCCTCTAGGTGCACGGTTTAAGAGCACATAGATTTGGAACGGTATTGTGGAAAGGGTGGAAGCGTATGTACCTTTCGAAGGGAGGCCGTCTTACTCTCATAAAGTCCACTTTGTCGTATCTTCTTACTTATTTCTTGTCCTTGTTTCTTATTCCTGTTGCAGTGGCAAAAAGATTAGAGAGGATTCTAAGGGAGTTTCTTTGGGGAGGATTAGGAGAGGAGAGGAAATTGCATTTGGTTAATTGGCATGCGGTTTGTTCTCCTATTAGATTCGGTGGTCTCGGATTGAGAAGTCTTGTATAGTTTAATAAGGCCTTATTGGGTAAGTGGTTGTGGCGATTTGGAGTGGAGAGGGAGAGCTTTTGGAGAATTATTATAAGGGCAAAATATGGTGTTATGGAGGGGGGATGGTGCTCAGGTGAGAGACGTGGTCCTTTTGAGGTGAGTTTGTGGCGGTATATTCGGCGAGGGTGGAACGACTTTAGGGATATGTTGACATTTGTTGTGGGGAATGGTAATACAATCAGCTTTTGGGATGACTGTTGGTGTGGAAATCAACCACTTAAGGTGAGATTTCCTTCTTTGTATCGTATTACGTTGGAGCCGTCTGCCATGGTGAATGATGTATTAGATATTCATATTGGGTGCCCCAGTTGGAACATTGTTTTTGGCCGGGGGTCTGCAGGACTGGGAACTGGATAATTATGCGTTGTTTCTGACATATTTATACGAGCACATATCAGGGCAGGAGATGATGATAGTAGCAGGTGGAGATTGACACGGGATGGTATTTTCTCAGTTCGCACCTATTTTAGATCTCTATCGGGAGTTGAAGAGAGTTCATTCCCCTGGAAGATGATATGAAATTGTAAACTGCCCCCTATTATGCTTTTATTAATATAATATTTGATTATCTTTCAAAAAAAAAAAAATGTGTTAGCCATCTAATGAATGTTGCTCGTGTAGCAACAGTAATTATCTTGCCCAAATTATTTTCATGTTACTTTTCCTTATTTTTTATGATTTGATAATTAATCGACAGTAGAAAGCATTTCTAATTATTTATAGACCTATACATTATCATATGGCAGCTTCTAGAGAGCAAAATACAGGAAGCTAAGTCCAAAAAAGATACTCTAAAAGCACGCGCTCAGTCTGCTAAGTATGTTCTCAACCTTATTTGTAAGTTAATTTTCCACATTGCAATTTACCTTTCTAATTAACTGTGTGGCCACTTTTTCTTCAGGACTGCAACCAAAGTAAGCGAAATGTTGGGGAATGTAAATACAAGCAGTGCTCTGTCAGCTTTTGAAAAGATGGAGGAAAAAGGTTATACGCTACCATTTCATTTCTTATCATTTACAATTTTACTTGCTTCTTTGCTTCCAAAAGTGGATCTGAAAGAAAAAAAAAGTGGATGTACTGTTTTTGTACATTCAACTACTTGTAGGGAGGAAGTTGGGCTTATTCTTAGATTGCAGTTGACATATATGAGGATTCTATGCCAGTAATCATTTGGTAGCACCAATACGTATTGAAGAAGATTATTTTGTTGGTAGTTCATGATGTTTAAAACTAAATTATCTTAAGATATATCCCTAGATATCACACTTTATCTATTCATGTCTCGTAAAACCAATTGTTTTGGGAGCTTCAACAAAATGGACTTGTGTAACTCTCTTCTTGCATTCATTAAAAACTCATGAATCCCAGCTTGATTTAAACTTCTATTTTCTTGGAAGATCATGGTAAGTCCGTGTCCGACATAGGCTCCATTTTGCTCATCTTTATGCAAATAAAATACTTACACACTGTTTCATATAGTTTGAACTGTTCTTTATTGTTTGATCTTCATGAAGTTTCATTCTATAAAATTTCAATTTTATTCTCTGTCAATCAGATCAAGCTTAATGACATGCCATGCTAATTTGATTCCACCTTGCTCCATATTCTTTTGGGCGTGAATTCTAGCCCTTGTTTGGGCTCCATTTTAATGAAGTTTTGGGAAAAATGTATTTTTGAATATTAATTTTTCGGAGAATGTGTGGCTAAAAAAGAAGGAAAAGTTTTGAGTTTACATGTAATATTATTTTATTGAAGAATGTGATTAAAAAGAAGAAAGAGAAAAATATACTAAAATAAAAATGGAGCCCAAACAGGGGCCTAGAATTATACCATGGATTTGGACCGGATAGAATTCACGTGCAAGCCAAAACACTTAAATGAGCCAGAGAAGATGAGCCTACATATATTTGTACCATTCAGGTGGCTCAGTTTGCCTTGGGGCCTTCCCCAAACTCCTTATTTCCCTGTCATTGTGGAGTCACTAGAAGATTTGTTCGGTACAAGATGCATTTCTATATTTGTGTCACACATTGGAGATTAGTTTGGTGATGAGACAACTTACATGTATCAGCAATGCCCGAAGTTTAACTTTTGAATTTCATTTTGGGCTTGTTGAATTAGAAGCCTCAATATTAATTTTTTTTTTTTTTAGCAATTGCTCAAATCATCTATGTAGGTTCCCAAATGGGCCTAAGGTGTGACGGACTGTATTAGATCAGATCTCGGGTTCTATTAGTGTATGGATAACAACAAGATGTCTACTACCGCAGCCCTAGACTGCAAAAGTTAGGGTAATGATATTTTTCAGTATTTTCGACCTTGGATCCATAGGACCAAGTCAGATTGATTGAGAAATGGAACCATAAAATCACACATCTCACATCAGACTTTAGCTATGTAGTGAATCAACTTATGTAGATTACAAAACCTAGTTTGACCTGAGAATTCCATATTGCTTAAGCCATTATTGCCAGCTCCTCCTCTGTAGTGTCAGCAAAACAATATAATTTATACTCCCATTGAATTTATTCACTCACACCCTTCAGATTTGGTGATACAATGGAATTTGCATCTGATACAAAGCATTAGAATCATGATATCTTGTGATAAATGATAACAAAAGTAAATCAATCGATGTATACTGATGTATAATGACTGATAAAGTTGTCATTTTTCTTCCTGACAGTATTGACAATGGAATCTCAGGCAGATGCTCTTAATCAGCTGGCCGGTGATGAACTTGAAGGAAAGGTAGCAATATTCTTAATCATTTAATTTATAATTTTCGCTGGTTTCATTGCCTACCCCCCCCCCCCCCCCC